TGTATCACCTCTACTTCCACCATGCAGACATAACAAATTGAGGCTTTTAGCGTATATTCTACACCTTCTAGACATTTTTCTATGAAAATATATGCATGTCTTTAAAAAGAGACATGTGAACAATACTGTATGTGCTCTTTCATGGCTTGTTCTTGTTTGTTTTTGTGTGTGTGTACTATTATATCCTTTGGGTGATCATATCAAAGTACATCAAAACATTATAGATATAAAACATGACCTATTTAGTGCCATTTTCTTCCCACAGCTGTTTCATTAACTACAATCAGCCTTTTAATGAATATGTACTACATGTGCCAAAGGAATGGTCATCTCTGGTTTGAACTCTTACAGCTGGTCTCCTGGCTTCTAGTTTTACCCTACTCTAATCCATCCTTCACACAAACACCAAAGTGATCTTCCTGAAATACCCTTATGTCACTGCTCTGCTCAAAAGCATTCAAGAGGTTATGTACTGTATGATTCCATTTATATGACATTCTCAAAAAGACAAAACTATAGAGACAGGGAACAGATTAGTGGTTGTCAAGGGTTAGAGGTGTTGGGACGGTGTGACTCCAGAGGGGTAGTATGAGGTAATTCTTTGGGGGTATTGGAATTGTTGTGTACTGACTGTAGTGGTGGTTACATACATCTCTACATGTGTTAAAATTCACAAAGCTGTATATTACCCCCAAGATGTCAATTTTTCCATATGATAATTTTTGGAAAGTCTTCAATGGTTCTCCATTGCATAGATTCAAATTCAGCACTTAGCTAACATAAGGTCTCCATGGCTCTCCAGGCTACCTTCCACCCTCATCTCTTACTGAGCCTCACCCCCAATGCTCACTATATTCCAGGCACACTACGACTGCTTGCTGTTTGGTGAACATATATGCTATATGTGAACCTTGATACCTGTGTGTCTTTACTTGCAATGTCCCCTCTGCTAAAATGTATGTCCACCAATGGCGACCCTACTTATCCTTCAAGGCTTAGTTCAAATCTCACATCCTCTATGGACCTTTCCTCAATGCTCCCACAGCACTTTTGCTTAGATCTCATTTCCTGACACCACCAAGTGTTATAAAGTAAAGCCCAGGCAGAAGTGTGCTCCAATGATTAGGCAATAAAACCCCCAACCTTGCTCAGAAGTATTCACTTAGCATCAAGCATTTGCATTCCTTCTTTCCTCTCCTCGGTACCCAATGACCCACTGGTTTCCAGGCCAGGTTACACCTGTAGACTTTATTTTTTAAAAAGATTTTATTTGTTCATGAGAGACACAGAGAGAGGCGGAGGGAGAAGCAGACTCTATTTAGAGAGCCTGACACGGGACTCGATCCCAGGACTCTAGGATCATGACCCGAGCCAAAGGCAGACGCTCAACCACTGAGCTACCCAGGCATCCCCACCTGTAGACTTTAGACCTTCCCTGTTATTTACCTCCCCATCCTTCAAACCCAAGCTTAAACTTCATTGTCAAATACATTCCTGCTTTTCTGCTCTGGCGCTGAATTCCTGGCTTGGCCCTTGAGCACATGATTCTTCCGTGCCACTCCCAGGGATGGTCTAGCTTTCTGACCTATGCCTACTCAATCCTACTCTCCTGGCTGGAAGACAAGGGAGCTTGCCTAGCAGGTGTGGGTACCTGGAGCTGAGGCTGGTGGGAGGAATGTCTCATTGCATTGGTAAGTGAGCCAATCCAACGCAAAAGAGCAAATTGGAGAGTCAAGTGAGGCAAGCAGAGGTTGGTAAACCAGAGAAGCAGAGCCAAATTACGTCAAGAGAGTAAGGAGGGACTGGAACCTAAAGCCAAGAAAGTGAGCACATGTGGATGGTTGGGAACCATGTTAGAGCAGGCTAAGCCATAGGCTAGTTGGGTAGATATTAGAGATATGGGACCTTTGCCTATTCCCTTCTGTGTTAAATGTGAATGCACTTGCCCCATTTAAAGAGCCAAAGATAAAAAAAAAAAATAAAGAGCCAAAGATGAGTATAAAATACCCGCCTTCTTCAGTCCTACCCAGTCTAGATTATGGAGCCCAACATCTATGAGAGGCAGTGTGGTAGACTGAAGACTATGAGCTTTGGAATCAGACCAGAGTTTAGGGTCACTTGGGTGGTTCAGTGGTTGAGTGTCTGCCTTCAGCTCAGGTCGTGATCCCACGGTCATGGGATCAAGTCCTGCACAGGGCTCCCCACAAGGAGCCTGCTTCTCCCTCTGCCTATGTCTCTGCCTCTCTCTGTGTCTCATGAATAAATAAATAAAATCTTAAAAAAAAGCCCAGAGTTTAAGTTCTGGCTCTTCCCCCTTATTACTTGTGTGACCTTGTGTAGTCACTCAGCTTCAGCGTCTTCATCTGAAAAATGGAGATAGCATCTACCTCAGAGGATCATTATGATGATGAAATTATGTAAATGAGCCAACGTGGACTTTGGTATCTAATAAGCATTCAACAGATGACAGCCCACTTCTTTCAAGAACACCTATCATAATTTGCCATCATATTTCTGGTTAGTCATATGCAATACAGGTCTCTCTATGCAGATCTTAAACTTGAAAGCACTGTGAATTATTTTTTACATGTATTTACTTTTTATTTTTTTAAGATTTTTAAATTTTATTTATTCATGAGAGACACACACACACACACAGAGAGGCAGAGACACGGGCAGAGGGAGAAGCAAGCTACCCTCGGGGAGCCCGACACAGGACTCAATCCCGGGACTCCAGGATCAGGCCCTGAGCTGAAGGCGGCGCTAAACCGCTGAGCCACCCGGGCTGCCCCATGTATTTACTTTTTAAAGTAATATCTTTTACTCATTGCAAATACCATGTAAAGTTATACAAAATTTAAATTTTACAAACTATTTAGCACAGAAGACATACCCCCCAGAACCCTCCAACCCAGAACTGCTGTAAAGAATTTGGAACATTTTTAACCAGCTCCCCCAGCTACCATATTCTTTGCTTTGTTTTGTTTTTACAAAAACAGGATCACTGTTAAAGTATGGAGACTCAGAATTTTTTTTAAAGTTTCTTACAAACAGAGAGTGTACATGTGTCAAAGTTTAATTTTAATTCTTAAAGGAGGAAACCAGCAAGACGGCAAAGTTAACTCGAAAGAGGATATGAGAACTAGTATTTTATTTTATTTTTTTAAAGACTTTATTTATTTATTCATGAGAGACACACAGAGAGAGGCGGAGACACAGGAAGAGGGAGGAGCAGGCTCCATGCAGGGAGCCAACGTGGGACTTGATCCTAGGACTCCAGGATCACGCCCTGGGCTGAAGGCAGGCAGGCACTCAACCGCTGAGCCACCCAGGTGTCCCGAGAACTAGTATTTTATAGTCAGTTAAAAAAACAAAGAAATGCTAAAATCATATTGCTAAGGTAGAATTAAAGCTGATTAATGTCCTACGGGGTACTAACAACCAAAATCATGCTGCCTTCTTTAGGTGGATAGAAAATATTGTTGCATTTTGTCAGTTTTACAGATTTGTAAAATGACCGAACCCTTATCACTTGTGCTAAATTACAATTCTCAAAATAAATAAATAAATAAATAAATTACAATTCTCTGGGCCTTGGGCCCGTTAGAAAATGCTCTTAATGTGACAGTAAAGCAGCAAGTAGGGGCACCTGGGTGGCTCAGCGGTTGAGCGTCTGCCTTAGGCTCAGCTCCAGATCCTGGGATAGAGTCCTGCATCAGGCTCCCCACAGGGAGCCTGCTTCTCCCTCTGCCTGTGTCTCTGCCTCTCTCTGTGTGCCTCTAATGAATAAATAAATAAAATCTTTAAAAAAATAATAAAGCAGCAAGTAATCATCTTTTCCTTTTGTATTAGTTTCCTAGTGCTGTTATAATAAATCATCACAAGCTGTTATAGCTTAAACACACACACACACACATACTTCATATCTTCTTACAGCTCTGGACGTCAGAAGTCCACAATCACTTTCACTGGGCTGAAATCAAGGTGTTGGCGGGGACCTGCTCCTTCTGGACACTCTATGAGAGAATGTCTTCTTGTGTTTTATAGCTTCTAGGGGTGCATTTCTGTTTATGGCCTCTTCCTCTATCTTTAAAGCCAACAGCGTCACATCTTCAAAATCTTTGTTTCCGTCTTCACCTCACCTCCTCTCTTATGAGGACCTTTATGATTACATCCAGCACACCCACATAATTCAGGGTAATCTCTCCATTTCCAGGACAGCTGGTTAGCAACCTCAATCCCCCACTTAATTCCCCCTTACCCATAACATAATGTATTCACAAATTCTGAGGATTAGGATGTGGAGATCTTGGAGGGGGCACTATTCTTCCTGTATCTATTCTTCCCTGTTTCCAAGTTTTGAATAATTCTTCATAATCTTGGTCTATACATTGTGTTTTCAACTTGCTTTTTTTCATACTGTATACATCTACCCCATTTTTTTTTAGTAGACAAAAAAGATACATTAGTTTCAGGTATACAACTTAGTGATTTGACAAGTTTACATATTATGCTTTGTTCACAAGAATAGCTACCGTCTAACACCATACCTCATTATTACAATATTACTGATTTATTTCCTATGCTGTGCCTCTTATTTCCACAACTTCTTCATTCCATAACTGGAAGCCTGTGTCTCCCTCTCCCCTTCACCCATTTGGCCCAATCCTCTACTCCCTTCCCTTCTGGCAACCATCAGTTTGTTCTCTGTATTTCTGGGTTTAATTTTGCATTTTGTTTCTGCATTTTTAGGTTCCACTTATGAGTGAAATCATATGGTATTTGTTTTTCTTAGTGTAATTTATTTCACTTAGCATAACACCCTCTAGGCCCATCCATGTTGTCTCAAATGACACAATCTCATCCTTTTTATGGCTGCATATTCCATTTTATACAGACACACACACACACACACACCTATCTTATCCATTCATTTATTGTTGGATACTTAGGTTGCTTCCATATCTTGGCTATTGTAAATAATGCTATAATAAACATAGTGGTGCATACATCTTTTAATGGCTGGACAGTATTCCAATTATAGAATTGACAGAATTTAATCATTTTCTTACAGATGGAAATTTAAGTTGTTACCAATTTTTCACTGTTATAAACAGTGCTGTAATGAACATTCCTGTACATATCTCTTTGCACAAGTGTGGCCAGGTTGCCATAGGAAAAATTCCTAGAGGTTAAAATTTGGAGGCAGAAAGTATGCCTGATTAATTTTAACAAATATTGACAGATTGGCTTCCAAAAATTTGCACCAATATTGTACTCTCATGCCAGTGATGAGAACCAGTGCCTATTTATCTCCAATATCACTTAAATTCAATATCTGGGATTCACATTTGAGCCTTTCAGCATCTATAGAGCACTCTGAAATATCCATTTAGCTTTTCCTTGGCACAAAATGAGTTTAACAACTGTTTTAATAAATTAAAGGTTAGAACAATGCAAATTCACATGTACAACTCAGAGGGCTTGTCCCCAAAATGAATGATACAATGGTAACAGAGCTAATATGTGTCAATGTGCCTTGAATATAATACCGTGCTCTTCAGATGTTATTATCTCCATACATGAAAGTGTATTGTTTTCACATTTAGTTCCCTTAGCTCACACAGGTCAGCCTTGCTACTTCCCAGTTTCACATGGGAAAGTTTCACATGCTTTATTGTCAAGATTCATATCATACTTTCACTGAGCACACCAGAGGTTCTAAAGTCTGTGACTAAAGTGTATGACTAACGGTGCTAACCCTCCAAGAGAAAAGGCATAAGATTATGGACATGTGTATCCCCTTAAGACAGTAATAAAGGCTAATAGCAAAAGTTTCAAAGAATGAGGATTCCCACTCTTGGGTAGGTAAATCTTTTGGAGGGCCCCAAGGCATCTGCTTTTATGCATACGGCTTTTCAGAAACAGAACTCCACAGGTTTTGTGGGTTTTTTTTAAGATTTTATTTTTAAATAATCTCTACACCAAATGTGGGGCTCAAATTTACATCCCTGAGATCAAGAATTGCAACACTCCATGGACTGAGCCAGCCAGGCATCCCAGAACTCCACGGGTTTAGATGGAATGTCCTGGTGGGATGTTCTACCCTTCAGCTGCTCACACCACCTTTACCCTGGAAGTAGCAAGCAACTCTGAAAGCTGATGACCATGACCTTGTGAGGTGTAGGCGGGAGCAGGCTAGCTGAGAGAGCACTGAAATTTGACTTAGGCTCTCAGGACTGTGACAGCTGAGGGAGGGGCATTATTCTTCAACATTCATATCCCCTGGCCTGCTTCAGAACTAGGAGTCAGCTTCTCAGCAGGTATAAGGACAATGTTGCTAAGACGAAGTATAAGAGAGTGGGCTTCAGCACTCCCCTGCTGTGATTGGTTGTTTGAGGTGGTGGAGAGTCCTACAAACCTAAGTACTAATTGCTCCCTCCAGTTTTATTACCACGACAGGGTCTAGAAGGTTTAAGAACACACAGGAAACAAAATCCTGAAATTAGAAAGGAAATGGGTCCATCTACCACTATCCCTCACCCTACTCTCCCACTCCCTGTATGTAACTACATGTGAACATAAATATAAGTACATATAAATACATGTGAACACATACTCAATTTCATTCCAGGCCTTTTAGGACTTGACCTTTTTCCTCTAGGGTAAGTTGAGTGATGCCTCTTGATTACGAGTGTTTGTAAGAATGCTTGAGATGAACCCAACGATAGCCCAGAAAATATTCCTGGAACCGCTAACATATTAAAATAATTCCACAAAGGACCTAAGAGGATTTAGAGGCTTGTGTCATGATTAAGAGTGGAAGCTCTGGAGCCTGAGTGCCTAAAACTGAATCCTGGCTCTGATATGACCTGTGGCTTTGGGCAGGTCACTTCCCTTTTCTAGGCCTTAGAATCTTCATCTGTAAAATGAAGGATTAATAGTACCAACCTCATGAGGGTTGTTTTGAGGACTGAATGAAAGATATAGTGCATATAAAGCACCCATGCCAGACATACAGTAAATGCTTATAAATATTAGATATTATTTAATTCTCCTACAGTGCCTCACAGTTCTATGCCCCATAGCCTTCAAAGTATTTGTGGAACAAATGAAACTGACAACTATTAGTTTATTTAATACATTTCCTTAACAGGTCCATTTGCCCATACTTAGCCTACCGAATTTCCAATAATATGAAAAAAAGCTGTTGCTACATCAGCCTCTCTTTCCCCCAAACTTCATGGTTCTGCCTTCCATTTCCAAGACCCATTTGCTGGCCCCATCTCTGCCTCCTCTCCCACTAAGACTTGCCCCTACACAAGTACCCTGTGTCGCTTTAAGATTTCAAAGTGCAAAAAAGAGAGCAGTTAAAGAGGTGTATGCAGATAGGAGCACTTCCCTTGCCCTACCATCGTATTTTGAAATTTCTCCTTTTCCTGTGTATTTAGAATACTGCTGTGCAACAGGAAGGCCACCACCTAGAGGAGGTTAGAGTTCATTTGCATAAGGTATGGCTAGACTCTCTTCTCCTAGGGAAAGGGCAGCAGGTTTTTCAGGTCCCAAGTTGCTCCATACCCCTCACCCTGAACTCCTTGCATTCCAGAGATATTAAGTCATGGAGGCTGGGGAGGCTATGTGGGGGGAAAAATACACCCGGTCTAGTGCCAAGGCACATGGTTTCTGCCCTGTGTATCTCCACTCTAGCTCTAATTGGCCTGCTTGGCTTGGTATGTGTCACTGTGTTCTCATCACACCTGTACCTTAAGTAAGCTGATTCACATGCCTTTTACGGACTAAATTACAGTTCCACGCTGCTTCTGATTTTAATAGAAGGGCATATTAACCACTAGGGAGAAATTATTGCTTGAATTCCAAGAGACAGTGTGTTCTTCTGGAGGCCTAATAGATTCATTCAAATTCACCTTAAATTACATAGTCAGAAGACAAGAGTATGAGCTTTTTATGACATCAAGCTAAGTCTCATCATCAAAGATAAAATGAGGGAGTTGGACTGGAAAAGAAAATATTCACTGCTCCAAAGCGAGTCATTTTACTCTTCCCCAAATCAATTATCCAATCCTTTTAGCCCCAAACAACGGTTGAAGATGGGAAAACCCACACTAGACATACCAGGAAATAGGACCATTCTGGCTAAGAGCCCCGCTACTTAAAAAGAGGGAATACCTCTACCATAAAGTCGTGACACTGGATAAGAGGAAGGGAAATGGCTAAAATTCTTAATGTGATCTCAAGAGTAATGTGATCTTTAGGTGGGCATCACATGGGGATGAGAAGCTTTAGGTCAGATTGTTCACAATTTCTCAAAACCTTGCGGTAGCAACAGTTGATACATGCTACTAGGAATTCTCAAATACTGAGATACTGGGTCCCAGGTGGCAGTGGCCCTCCTAACCTCAATTCCTTGGTTACCTTGGAGGCATCTAGCTGACATCCCCATCAAAATGCCCAACTGATATGAGATACATGAAAAAAGGAGATATGTATTCATCCACTGGGGGTATGAGAATGAGCAGAAGGTTGATAAACATTCCTTATTGCAAAATAAAATCCTGTAGGCAAAAACCAGTACCAATGATGAGTTAATGTGATCTCGTTTCCCTAGTAGTAGTAGTAGTAGTAGTAGTAGTAGTAGTAGCTGCCATCCAAACCCCAAACAGCATGAAGGTAATATTCCAGCTATTATTACCTTCTCTCTCCCCTAAAAAAAAACCCAGCAAAATACTCAGAATAGTAGGAGATGCAAAGCAATCTTCATTTCTTCCTTACATTAGAAACATTTTCAATTACAGTTCAGCCTCTCTGCAATCTATATCAAGTAGTCAAATGTCAAGAGCACAGAAAAACCAGGTTGGAGGGAATTCCTGATAATGAGGCATTAAGTGAGAGATTTTCCTCAACCACTCCATTCCACAAGCTGGTGCCCATGCAGGTCCCTGAGAAAGAGTCATTCTGGCTTATGCCCTGAAGGAATCCTAGTCAGCACTCCCTCCTCAGAGTGTGCCTATGAAGGGCTGCTTGAAAAGAGAGGTCTTTGATGAAAGATCACTAGTAAAACCCTAATGGAAAGCTAACTTGTTTGGGGAGCAGCTCTTTTAATAGTGGGGGTTTTCTTCTTAAACCAGAGTTTCTCATTGGAATAAAAAAAAAAAACCACAACCAGCCATGCTTACAGTTACAATTCCACATTAACCAGCCAGGTTCCTGGGAGGTACCCATAACTAGCAAGTTGTCATACTCTCTAATCAGTCCAGATATGCTCTGGTGGAATTCTGGGCCTTCATCTCAGCCCTAGGAAAACTCAGTAATGCCTCAAGCAAATGAGCAGAGCTACAAGATCACACCCAGAGAGCTTAAGGTGCTTGGAGGTAAATTATCCCCTCGGGCAGCCACAGCTTCCCTGGGTGGGAGGGGGTGTTCACCATATCTCTGATCCTTCTTGGTATATAGTAGCTACCCCCTTTTCCAAACAGACCAGTCAATCTTAAGGACATAAAACCTATTTGGGAGCTGTTCTTTCTTCTTATAGGCTTACCAGAAAATTCAAGAAAATATCCTAGTGAGTACTCACCTAAGAGCCTCATCCTCTCCTTCAATTTCAAAGTTGCTCTTGGCAAACCCCAACCTATCCCCAAATACCCAGAAGATAGAATCAGACAATGCTTGGCCTTGCTTCAGCATCACAGGATGGTTCTGAGTTCTCAATCCTGCCCCGAGGGTGCTGGTGGCAGCAGACACAATGGAGGTAGTCCACTACGTTGTGGGTAAAGAGTGAGCGCAACGGGTGCAAGTACTGGAAGAAAAGGAGCATGAAGCCAATGGAAATCAGGTAAGCAATGATTAGCTGCAAAGAAATCAAGGAATGACAGTAATTCAATAACACTTTCACTCCACAGAACTTGAAAACCAAAACCATGATCACATTCTCTACCAATCTTAAGCTATAGTGCAGGCCCATATGTCCCCAGTTCTGACCTTTGTCAACAAGGTCCCTGTCTGCCAATTTCAACTGCAAAGCTGACCAGCAAGAGAAGTTGATGCCTGCATAGAGGACAGTAATGGAAATCAGCACCACCAGGGTGCCGACCCGGCTGAAATTTTTCTCAATGTTATTAGGCATCTGGGCACCACTCCTCCAGAACTTAACCCAGGGCTCAAAGAGGATGATCAGGAAGTTGAGCAATAAGAAGGGCACAGCTTTCAATTTCAAGGTGGCTGAGAAGAGCACCAGAATCACTAGGCGGGAAGTGATCTCCAATGTCCGCCAGATGGTGATGCAGAGGACTTCTAACGGCCCAAGGCGAATCTTGTATTCATCATACTTGATCTGGATAGCCAACATATTGCAGAGGGTAGCCCCATAGGTGACAGATATCAGGGAAAAGACCATTAGCACAGCTGTAGAAAAAAAATAACAGAAAAAAACAGATAATCAGACTATGTTAGCAAAGCTTGAACTCTGACCCAGAGGTCCAGAGAGATGATAGGTGAGACCTGCGGTGCCCAGTGAAGAGAAAATTCATGTATGAACACAGCTGTGTTAGCACAGAAAACAGCATGCACAGAAAAAAATGGAATTAGATAAAGTAAAATATATATATATATATATATGTGATAGGGATTATACCGGTTTTTTTAAAGCTTATTTTCTATGTTTCTGTTTTCTAAATTTCCCACAATTAACACACATTGTAACTTTAATAATCATATAAACATCCAAAATGAACCTTTTTTGTATATTTTTTATTGGAGTTCAATTTGCAAACATATAGCCTAACACCCAGTGCTCATCCCGTTAGGTGCCCCCCTCAGTGCCCATCACCCAGTCACCCCAACCCCCCGCCCACCTCCCTTTCCACTACCCCTTGTTCGTTTCCCAGAGTTAGGTGTCTCTCATGTTCTGTCACCCTCACCAATATTTCCCACTCATTTTTCTCTCCTTTCCCCTTTATTCCTTTCCACTATTTTAAGAAGAGTGGATCTCAGAACTAATGTTGAGAGGTCACTAACACAGAAAGAACACATATAAAGGGATAAGGCAGCACCCACTTGATGAAATAGGCTTCTGAGCAAACAATGAAGGAGGCAGAAGGAATTCCGAAAAAAATCCAGTCCTAGGAAATTCATAGGTAACGCCTTTGGTTACAGAAGTCCTTCTTGACAAACATTATATGGTCTCATTCATTTGGGGAATATAAAAAATAGTGAAAGGGAATAAAGGGGAAAGGAGAAAAAAATGAGTGGGAAATATCAGAGAGGGAGATAGAACATGAGAGACTCCTAACTCTGGGAAACGAACAAGGGGTGGTAGAAAGGGAGGTGGGCGGGGGGTGGGGGTGACTGGGTGACGGGCACTGAGGGGGGCACTTGATGGGATGAGCACTGGGTGTTATTCTATATGTTGGCAAATTGAACACCAATAAAATAGATAGATAGATAGATAGATAGATAGATAGATAGATGATGATAGATAGATAAGAAATCCCTTCATTTGGGACACCTGGGTGGCTCAGTGCTTGAGCGTCAGCCTTTGGCCCAGGTCGTGATCCTGGAGTGCTGGGATTGAGTCCCACATCGGGCTTCCTGCAGGGAGCCTGCTTCTCCCTCTGCCTGTGTCTCTACCTCTGTGTGTGTGTGTGTCTTTCATGAATAAATAAATAAAATCTTTAAAAAAAAAAAGTCCCTTCTTTGACATGTATCTTCTTTAAGAAACTAATCTTGTATGTATGTCAGGAATGTGTCAGAATGTATACTGAAAATTCCATGAAGGCAGAAAGGACCATGTCTATTTTGTTCACTGCTGTATCCCAGAGCCAAACACACACTGCCTGGAATATAATAGGTGATCCATAAATGTTTGTGGAATTAATGAGGAATTCTGAGTTTACAGAGGCAGCATAAAATATCTACAATTAGAAGCCCTCGGTTCAGCTCTGTGAAAGCTGTGTGAAAGTCACTGAATATCTGTGTGCTTTAATTCCCCAATTCACTGAGATCTCTAGAATTGCTTGCATTAATCATCAGCAATATCAATTTATCACCCAGCTGCTTTGGTATATTTTAGGAATCTTCAAACTTCTACCAGAGTTGTTTTAAAAAAATGTTTAAGGGTACCTGGGTGGCTCAGTGATTGAACATCTGCCCTTGGCTCAGGTTGTGATCCCAGGGTACTGGGATCGAGTCCCAAATCAGGATCCCTACAGGGAGCCTGCTTCTCCCTTTGCCTATGTCTCTGCCTCTGTGTCTCTCATGAATAAATAAATACAAATAAAGTCTTAAGAAATAATAAAACAAATTAAAATTAATTTACAAAAATTTTAGACCCTACTTCATAGCCCATAACATCCATACCACTGTATAGAGTTTGGTCCCTGAAGGGTCAGGGTGCTCTATAACTTGCTACATTGAGTCTCAACTATAGATCACACAGTGTCCCTTTCCTTTTATTCCTTTGTATCAAAGAATACCAATCACTAAAAAAGTGAGAGAGGCCTAAGGGGTAAATCATCCAAAAAAAAAGCTGGAACTTTGTGTTCCCATAAAAATACTAGCTCCAGGGAACTGGAGCCATAGAGATGTCAACTTAATCTGCAAGGAAAGTGAAGACTTCCCCATGGAAACCCAAAAAGCAGCACAGCTTTGCTTCCAAGATCCTTTTCAGCTCTAAGTAGTCTTGGAATCTCAAAGACTGGAATGAGAGACTCTCTTGAACTGTTTACTCTTAGCCTGATGTTTATTTATTATTTTTCCATGTTTATTGAGATATAATTGATGTATAATGTTGTATTAGCTTAAGGTGTACAACTTAATGATTTGATACACTCTTAGCTTTATAAACCACTGTTAGTCCCATCCTTAAGTGTTGACGCTTGTAGTTGGGAACATCAGAGGGTATATACATCTAGCCACATGTGGTGATGCTTTCCCTTGAATTAGAACTTATTTATTGATAGTAGTGTAATAAAAGAAAGCCTGATGCAATAAATGTAAAAACACCTTCCATCTGTCTCCCTACAAATAGATTCATGTCATAAGAGATCATAATGCTGTTAATGAATTTGCTCATCTAGACTGATCCAGATGGTCTCCAAGAGAAAAGGCGATTAGAAAAGAGGTAGCAAGGAGAAAGAAGAGTGGATGAAAATGAAGAAACCTAACCCAGAAAATCACTTACAAGACTGAGATGGTACTCTCAGGAAGTTTTTAATAGGAGAAATTGCCAAAGAACTAAAAACAAGGCCTTGGAAAAAGTTTCCCTTACATCCTTTGTATGGTGATATAGTTAGAAACATGGGCTCTGCAGGCAGACCTCTTGGATTCCAATCCAATCTTGCCATCTATTACTTCTCAGTGCCTCTATTTCCTCATTTGCTAAAAAGGGGATAATAATTACATCACAGGGTTCTTGTAAAGATTAAGTGAAATAATTACATGCAAGGGACTTAGAGAAATGTTCAGAACATAGCAAATGCTATCTGCTAGCTCCTATCATCATCATCATCATTCACTATTTCCAAAAGTGTAGTACATGCATTTCTCCTACTTAGACACTACCCTGACACTTAGGAAGTCAGGCGATTTAAAAACTAATAGAACAGGGATGCCGGGGTGGCTCAGTGGTTGAGCATCTGCCTTCGGCTCAGGTTGTGATCCTGGGGTCCTGGGATCGAGCCCCACATCAAGTTCCCCACGGGGAGCCTGCCTCTCCCTCTGCCTATGTCTTTGCCCGTGTCTCTCATGAATAAATAAATTATTTAAAAAATAAAATAAAAACTAATACCTAGAAATAAGCCTTACAAAAATGTGCAAGACCTTTAGCAAGAAAACTATACGACTTTACTGAAGTACATTTCATGAAATATTTTTTATGTACTTCAATAAAGTTGTATAGTTTTCTTGTTCCAGGCCTTGCACATTTATGACATAAATTATGGGGATAGTTCATGGATGTAGACTTATCTCCAGACTCATCAAGCTGGATATGTTAAATAGGTATAGGTTTTTGTCAATTATACTTCAATAAAATGCTGTAGAAATATTTAAAGAAACGGAGAGAGATGTCATCTTGTAATATGAAGCTGATTGGTCCTACAAAGATACACATTCCCTCTGAAATAACCTAAGTAATTTAATGCATTACCAATACACAATCTCAGTGGTTTTTTTTCTTTTTTTGTTGTTACCCTTTTGCCTTGTTTTGTATTTTGGCAGGGGAATTGACAAACTGATTGTGGAAATGCATCTATTTGGAAGATGAACCTAAATTGCCCTATCAGATAGGAGCTGTGAAAGGCCTTTGTAAGAAGTTCACAAGATCTAAAAGCAATAAAGAACTTAAGTACATAAAATTTAATACTTCAGAAAGCCAGAAGATAAAATTATCTTGTGTATCTTATATATGGTATGTTCCACATGTGTTCATGCACATTTAAAATGTATACACATACAAAACATACAAATGTATACATACATACTTATCTACAGCAGAGAAAGGATTAATACCAAGAAGAAAATAGCTCTTACAAATTAATAAAAGACAACCCACTACAAATAAGCACTTTAAAGAACAAAATATCTAAACATGAAAAGATGTTCAGCTGTGTTCACAATTAAAAACAAATTATTTAAGTAATCAGTTATAATTATATAACTAAATAATATTTAGCTTAATATACAAAGAAAAAAGATATTCATACCCTTAGGAATATAAATTCATACAACCTTTTGGGAGGGCTATTTGCAGTAGTGATAGAATTCCAAACATGCATATCCTTTCACCCAGCACTTCTATTGCTAAGAATTTAGCTACAAAGTCTCATTCCAGTACACAGATACTTAGAAAGATGTTCACTGGAGCATAGTTTGTAATTAGAAAAAACTTTTTTGAAGGGGAAAATCAGAAACAAACTTTAATCCTACCAATAGAAGATTGGAGAAATAAGAAAGAATGGTCCAGTTCATATAAGAAAAATATATATTATATATTTATAATTTATTATTATGATGTATGCCTATATAAATAACCATTGAATAAAGATATATTGGCATACTTTTGAAAAAGACATGTTGAACACAATGTTTTTTTAAGATTTTATTCATTTATTAATGAGAGACACACACAGAGAGAGGCAGAGACACAGGCAGAGGGAGAAGCAGGCCCCACGCAGGGAGCCCGATGCAGGACTCGATCCCAGGTCCCCAGGATCACACCCTGGGCTGAAGGCAGACGCCAAATTGCTGAGCCACCCGGGCTGCCGGAACACAATGTTTAATACAGCCCTTTCTTACAAAAATACATAATACATAATAAATATATATTGTATGTATGTTTACATAGTCAAAAAAGTCTGGAAGGATATACACTGAATAGTTAATAGAGATTACTTTTGGGGAGTAAAATTACATCTCCTATTTAATATACATTCTGTGTGGTTTTGAATCTTTGCCATAACCATGTCTGATTTTTAAAATTAAAAAAATAATGGCCAAAAATAGAAATACATGATCATAACAAACATTTTAAACCATAGAAAGTTCGAACCATACGGAAGGGTATAAGGTAAAAGGCAAAAGTCTACAGACTTCTCATCTTCACTCCCCAGAGGTAAATAGTTTCTGATATATCTTTCCAGAAATTTTCGATACGAATACAATTCCTCGTAGGCCAAATGGCTTGTGCATGCATTACTTTTGTAAAGTATACATATTTTAATTAGATACTTTGATGACCTTCAAAATTCTCAGGAGGAAAAGCATCATCATTTCCCTTTCTCTTCACATCACTGTCAATTCTAGGTAGGTAAAAAAGCTTTAAGACCAACAGAATGTCATGAACAATTCTTAGCGGAGGAAAAGAGCAAAGGGCACAAATTCCCTCCTTATATTCATTTGCAACATGGGGCTTTGCAAGCAGCTGTGTACCCACAGCTGTATCAGCTCCAGCCTAAGCAGATGAGGCTAATCTTGAGCTGTTAAAACTCATTAACCGTACTTTATCTTGACTTTGAAAACATGACTCACATTTTCTCCTCTCTTAGAGGTCTTACTCATCCAAAGATCCGTCTTTTACAAGTGGGAACTTAAGACTGTGACCTCTTGGGTAACTTCCCTCAACACAGAATTCAGAAGATCAGAACTGGGGGGAATCCCTGGGTGGCTCAGCGGTTTAGCGCCTGCCTTTGGCCCAGGGCACGCGATCCTGGAGTCCCAGGATCGAGTCCCACATCCAGCTCCCTGCATGGAGCCTGCTTCTCCCTCCTCCTGTGTCTCTGCCTCTGTCTCTGACTATAATAAATAAATAAATAAATAAACAAACAAACAAACAAATAAATAAATAAATAAATCTTTAAAAAAAAAGATCAGAATTGGGACCAAACCTCATTCTCATTGGTATTCATTCCACACCCTATTTCTTTCTCCCCACTGGAGAGAAGTGATTAAACCAATGGTTCCCAAACGTGGCTGATCAGAATCAACTGGGGGTATTTTAAAATAATAAAAATACAGATTCCTGGCCTCCCCACACTCAGACTGAGTGAGGTTTGAGTAGGAGATGTAAGTTTTTAAAAAGGAGCTTTCACCCAGTAATAGGTTTTCTCATGATCAGTAATATTTGGGAACTTCTTATTAAAAGATGACCATCCTTACACCAAAACAAATGGAAAGTCCTCAGGATAATTTAAACACTCTGGTCTAGGGAAAATGTCCTACTGACTGCTGGTATTACCAGCTTCTCTGGGCCCAGAAAGGCTCATCTGTGGCAGTTTTGGTCTTAAATAGCTTACCCCAGTTAAGAAATGTGGCAGGCCTAAGATGTCTGGCTCCCCTAGTTCTTCATCCACCAGCACTGTCCAAAGGTTCTGTAATACCCATGCTGCCCAGTACAGTAACCACTCACCACACACAGCTATTGAACTCTTGAAATGTGGCTTGTATGACTGAGGAAGTAAATTTTTTAAAGATTTTATTTATTTGAGAGAGACAGAGAGAGCACAAGGTGGGGGGAGCAGCAGAGGGAGAGGGAGAAGCAAGCTCCTTGGTGAGCAGGGAGCCCAACATTGAGCTTGATCGCAGGACCCTGAGATCATGACCTGAGCCGAAGGCAGACACTTAACCGACTGAGCCACCCAGGGACCCTAGAAGTAAATTTTTTATTTCATGTTTCATTTTAATTTAAGTAGCCACATGAAGCTGGTGACCAGTGTATTGGACAGCTCAGGTCTGGATTTCTAAGACCCTTGATTTAAATGGAGCCCTCCCCTCTCCTGACCCACTCACCTCTACCCAGGGGGACCTCTGCAGAGATCAGAGTCACATAGAGCTGATAGGTCAGCTGGGGCACTGAGCCCAGGAAGGCTTGGATCTGTGACATACGCTTGTAGGCATTGCGGTGCATGGCCAGGGTCCGGATGGAGTGGCCCACCTCCCATTCTATCAGCACCTCCTCGCCATTTATTAGCATCTTCTTTCGGGTGAGGCTGACATAGGGCTCCTCCTGCCCCTCTTTCTTCCACAGTGTGAGGTACTTAATCATGGCCTCCAAACATCTGCAGAAATAAAGCATCATGGGTACTTAATTAAAGCTGTCCTGGGAAAGAAGGTTGGGGAAGGGGGGATAATAATACAATTCAGGGAGTTTGTGCTACTTTTTGCCATTCCTTAATTCCCATTCTACTCATTTCTTGTGAGTCAAAGAGATAGTTATGTCTGCTACAAGTTACTTGAGTCTAAATCCTTTTTTGTTTGGTCGGTCATCTACTGACCTGAGAACACCATTTCATAGTGTTACTTGGAGGATTTAAGGAATTTGCTTGGTCTCCTTAAGAATAAGCCTATGGTAGAAAAGCACCTTGAACACAAAGACATTATATAAATAATGTGTTGAGAGAAAATGATGAAGGCTCTTAAAGGCCCTGGTTTTCATAACACCTCAAGTTCCTGAGGTAAAGCAATCTGTATGCAAAGCATTTAGCTCTATACTTGGGGCTTTTGAGTTCTGCTTTTTTCAAGACAAAGCCCACAACTATAATTGTCTTGCCAAAAAGTCTTGGACGGGATCTAGAAAAAACCTCACATCTATACAGTAATGCCATTCAATAACAAAGCTACTTAAAGACTTGACAACTCAGAACTGAATGTGCTACATACCTAGGGAATACCAAAAGATCTCTCTAAAAGTTGTTTTGGGGGCCTCTTGACCTGTTTGGGGCCAACAGCCTTTTAAACTTCTTTCTTTACAAAGAGGAAAACATCTTTACCAACCTTGAAATAGTGATAAGACCACATTTCTTGCTGTATCCTTCCCATCTCTCCCATATAAATCAGAAGTCTTTAATCAGTTCTGATGTGGTGAATAGAAGAGAAGCAACTAGAACATCTTGTTTTGGAACACCTGAGTTACCACTTCCTCCACTCACCCTGACATGAATGGAAACTGTGGACTATTATAATAAGTAAAAACAGTTGTGGTGAAAATTAAGCCATCTTTCCTGACTGAGGGTATGGGTTGTATTTATCTTGCTCACCATCCTTATCATATGGTGAGTATTTGATAAATATTTTCTGAGTAAATGAAAGAGTAAGAAGCAAGAATTCAGGGTGAGAAATGATGGGAGGAGAGGATAATAATAATGGCAATGTAATTTAATGGAAAAATAGGCTAAAGACAAGCTCAGAGATTTATATGCTTCCTAGGCCTTTGGTTCTGAATGAAAGGGTTTGGAACATGTGCTGCCTGCTATTCTCCACAGGATCCCTTTGAGAGTGGGGCATATGTGCCAGTCTGAAGCATGCAGCTTCCTCCTAGAAAGTGGATGTTTCAAACTCTAAAACCTGGGAGAGGAAAAGGTGGAAGGAGGAGAGAACACAGAAGAAAAAAGCTAAGTGCATTTCCAACAAAATATTTTAGATTTTAACCCAGGCCCATCAGTGCTATTGCTGAATAAAATACTGGGGGAGGTAGTGGCAGGAAGAATTCTGTTTATGCTTCTAAAGGCTATTTAGTGATTTAAGTAAGAGTGTTTGACTTGGTTATAAGCTTTAGTAAGTTAGGGTACATTTTGGGGGATCCCTGGGTGGCTCAGTGGTTTAGCACCTGCCTTTGGCCCAGGGGTGATCCTGGAGTCCTGGGATCGAGTCCCGCATTGGGCTCCCGGCATGGAGCCTGCTTCTCCCTCTGCCTGTGTCTCTGCCTCTCTCTCTCTCTATGTCTATCATGAATAAATAAATAAATAATAAATAAATAAATACATACATACATACATAAATAAATAAATAAATCTTAAAAAAAAGTTAGGGTACATTTTCATTTTCGGGAGTATCTTTGTATCTCATATCAGGGAGCCAGGCCCTCCAAACATCTTCATGTATCTAATAGTACTGATTAAGTTCCTTCCTCTCTAAAAAGTAATTTGCCTTGAACATAAGCATATCAAGGATATAATTTATGAGCTTTTAATTATTTCTTTCCTGCTGTCAGGTTAGCTATTATAAATGCTTTCCAATCATTTGTAGTGGAAGCTAAACAACAAAAATGAAATATAGTTCTCATTATTCCATATGATGGGTCCAAATCAAAGATGGCTCGAGAGGCCAAGAGCAAAGGAAGTCTAAACTCTGGACTGGGGCAGTACTTGCTGAAATTTGCATCTTGAGAGTGTTTGATCTGTTAACAGACCACCTTTGAAAAAGGAGAGAAGAATGGTTTCCTTGTTCCTCTGATGCCATCTCTAAATTTGTTTTTTGTTTTTTTCCAGAGACAGAGCAGAAGCATGCACATGCACTCAGTCGGGAGGGGTAAAGAGGGAAAGGGTGAGAGAGGGAGAATCTTGAGCAGGCTCCACACCCAGCACAGAAACCCACTCGGGTTCCATCTCAGGACTCTGACCTGAGCTGAAATCATGAGTTGGACACTTAACCAACTGAGCCACCCAGGCACACTAATGTTTCTAAATTTCTTGGTTCCAAGTTCAAGATGAGGTCTTTCTTTTTTTTTTTTTTTTGAGGCCTTTCTTTTACAGCTTAACTTCAAAGATTTAGAATTGGAAAGAACTTTTAGATTACTTGGTCCAAATGTTGCATATAGGCCAGCTGAGTCACATCTGACCAACAGCTGTGGTTTGTTTGGTCCACGTTGTGTTATTTAATTAGTCAAGTTGCCAAAATTTTAAATGATATTTCATATCAAATCTTGTCTTGGAAGCTTCTGTTGAAAAGTTGGGGAATCTGGCAATACTGGGTCTGAGTTCCAAGAGCGACACAATGGGCTGGAACTGTAGAGTAGTTGCCTCCTTTAGGCAAATCATGCAGACTCTAGCTTGCCACACTGTTCACTACTCTCCATCATTTCTCTAACACTGAGACTTAATTTTCATTTATCATCACACATGAAGCTACTGGTTTTCTCATACTTGGCCCACTTCACTCATTTATGAGACCTGCCTGGCCCCTGTAAGCGTTTGTGTTTGAGTTGAGACCCATGAGCTGGCCCAACCCACTTATCATACAGATGAAGAAACTGGGGCCCAAGACATCTTCATAGGTTTCACCAAAGCCCAGCAACTAGTCAATGACAGAGGGAGGACTAGACTCCAGGCCACTGGAATTCCAGGCTGTTTTTGCTGATATCCCATATTTTCTCCAATGGAGCCTACTCAATCCCTCCTTGTTTGAACATTTATTGTTTTAAAAAAAATTAAGGCAGGGGAGTTCCGTCCTCAAATAACTGCAGTTTCAGACTGTGGTTATTTCTCTAAGGAAGAAATATTACCCCATTGCAATTACAACATCAACACTCTGACACATATTCTTCAGCTGACTGCAGGTGCATCTGCCTCTCTTGCAATGAAGACAAACTTGGTCCATTCCTTCCTCCTGACTTCGTAAGTTTTGCAACATCTCCCTAACCTGAAAATCCCACAGTGTCCAGATAAGACTGCTGACACAGATGCCTGTCTCCCTAAGATAAGGCACATTCTCATCCTTTCAAGGCAATCTGAATGGAAAGAACTGATATGTAATTACAGTGTGCTACAGCATCCAGATGGAGAGATGGACTATCTTCTTGTGCCCCCTCTAACCTTGTACCTTTATTGCAGAAAGATACAAAGAGATAAACAGGAGACTGATGAACCAAAAGAAGAAAATGAACTACGATGGATTGAGGTACTGAATGACCACAAATAGCTTAAAATACTTTCCAGATGTCAAAGAACTCTGGAAAATTTGAAAATGGCACCACCACCACCAGCCCAAGCAGCTCAATGTAAAGAAACCAAATGTGAGATCCAATTAATAGAGTGTCCAAAAGACAGGATCAAAATAACACACTCTGAAGTTATGTCCTGTTTACACAGGTTAACCACATAAGCTGGTCCTATAGCAATTTTCACAACTCGAATCCAAATAGCAAACACTAATGAAAGCATATCAATGGTACCATATATGGTTTTAGAACACAAGTACATGCCACATGTTCACTGTGGTGGCAATAAATATTTAAGATAAGATTTTTTTGGATGGTAGGCAAGTAAGCCCAAGAGTGGGAGGGAATGGGAGAATTGATTAGAGACACATTATCAGTCTTGTAAATATTAGCTTCATCTTTCTCTGCACAAACCGTGGGGGGGTGAAGTAGAAATTAAAAATTGCTCACCTGATAACAGGTCCCAAGAGGATTAGATGCATAAACAATGAAAGCGGCTTGTCTTTGGCCAGATCTCTGTGAACAAAAATGAGGGTCAACTGGACCATAATGGATGAAAACATAAAGAAGGATAAGGTGTATGTCATCCAGTAGGTTTCACTATTCTTTCGATAGACTCTAACCATGTACAAGGCAGATGCAGCCTCCCCACAGTACAAAAAGGTGGAGAAGAGGATGCCAAATGGAAAGGTAAATCGGGGGTTGGCCCCACGGATGACATCTTCCTCCAGAGATGAAATTGGATCCACGTTAGGCTCCTCCGGAATTTCATAAACTCGGTCCATTGTCGAGGTTCTGAGTGCTTGAGTCTGGTCTTCAGGGCAACCCCCACCCACCCCCAAGAGAACCCTATAGCCACTGCAGTCCAAGTATTGGTGAAGACAGCTGTCAAGTACAATTCCAGAACGGAGATCTGCTAGTTAGAGCAGGAGACCCCCTCTTTCTAGTTTCCAGTTACACTTGTTGGAGTATGGGATGGGGAGCCCAGGAGTACCACTTTGAACTTGACTCTTCATTGGCCCAGGCTTCCAATCGTCAATATACGTGCTGTGAAACCTGGACAGGGCCAAAGCAAGCATTTTAGCGCTCGGGCTGGAGTCCAGTTTCAGGCACGAGAAAGGGTGGACACAGCTGTTTCCTTGGCCGCTTCACCTTTCGCAGGATGCCCACCCCCCCACCGCAAGAAGGGGGTTAGCCCCTCTGTCGGGGCACCAACACTCAGCAGCACCTTCCGAGGAGTCCTGACCACGATGCCCTCTCACCCCTGCCGAAACCTGAACCAGGGCAGAAGAGGGGGTGGAGCCTGAGCGTCCCTTCGGGGGCTCATTCCGGTGCCTAGGTCCCCTAGCTATCGTCAGGCTGTGGCTACGAGCTCGCCGGCTCGCCGCTGCTCCCTCAGAACCCGCGCAGAGGCGAGGGTTCTCGAGCCGGCTGCTTGGATTCCCCAAGCTCCGCCCGCACGGCAGCCGCCGGCCGGGGGCAGGAGCAAAGGCACAGCCCCGGCCGGGAGCGCAGTCTCGGGGGAGAGGAGCCGAGAGCGCGCGCCCGCGCGTTACGGATCCAGAGAAAGCTAGAGGGGCTTGTTTTCCGCAGAGAAACTTTGCTAGCGAGAAGCACGACGTGTGGGGCGCCAGCCCGGGAGGGCAAAGGCAGACGTCGTCTGCTGCTGGGGTCCTCCCCGGCCTGCAGTTCCAGCTGCGAGAGAGGTCGGGCGGCTTCAGGAACTAAGGCACTGATGACCGGGGCGGGCGAAAGGGGAGGGACGGCTGGGGCCACACAAACCCAGCCTGCGGGTTCCAAGGCTGGCAGCCCAAAGATGCTCCGTGGGGGCGGGGGGGGGCGGGGGAGAGGCGCCACACAAAGAAGCTTGGGCTAGCCTCCGGAATGGCTTCTCACCACGACCCCAGGATCCCAGAGGAAGCCACAGCTTTCCTCTTCCCCCAGAGAAGCAGACGCCCACTTCTACCCCGCCCTCCTGAACTAGCGAGCTGGCACCCTTGCTCAACCCACGCGGTTAGGCAGGTATGTCTCTCTCGGCCTCAGGGTTGAACTTACCTAGGTCCTATTGCCCTCCAGATAATTACCAGGGCGGGGGGTGGGGAGGAGACCTGAGAGGCAATTGGGCCATAGTTTCCTTTCCAAACAAGACTGTATTCAGCAGAGGTAAGATAGAAAAGGATGCGGGGCAGGGGGTGTCAAGATTCAAGGTCAGCACTGAAAGCTCTTATTATATACCTTGATTTCCCCACTTGCAAAATGAGGCCAGGATAGGAACTTTAGAGTGAACTTCCAGGTCTTTGGCTGGAAGGTTCAGAAGAGGTGCCAAATTCTAAATAGACTGGAGAGAAGCCAAGAGAGCTGTTAGTAAAAACTGAGAGGGATAACTTAAAGAGCTCAGAAAATTGCCAAGATTCTTAAGATCAATCCTCCCCCACCTCACTGAGCTTTTGTTTTCATGCCTTCATTTGCATAATTCTAAACCCCAGAGAAAAAGAGAAAACATCTGCCTCCTGGTAATAATATAAATGTAGCAGAGCTTGTGCCAATCTCCTTTTGCTGCAGGAAGTCAGTAAAAAGAATCTATGTGATGAGTGGCCAACCAGCAGCCTGCAAAATGACGGCCTGGAGAAAGACTTAGGCTTGTTGTTGTGTTGATTTTTCGGATTCCAGCAATTGCTGCCTCCTTTCCCCATGGCTGATGCAGTGACAAATCAACTTCTAAACATTCTTGCCTTTAAAGCAGGCACACTATCTCAATCTGCACCTGGGCTAGTAGCTGCCTTAGCAGGCTTATCCTTCCTTTCCTTTTCACAAGGCAGGTCAACACTGTCTGAGAACACTTCACACAATGGTGTTAATTGGTTGGGGCTTTCCAGCTAGCACAGGGTTCTCCACCAACAGTGGAGAACTTCTGAGGGCTTCTTAGGAACCTGTTCTCAAGATGGATCTCAAGTAGCCGACTCGGTTTGCTGAGCTAGGATAAGTTGGTTACCCTAGCATGGGAGAATGAAGCTAAGAAGAATGTAGAATCCCAATTCTTCTAGCCTTTCTTCCCTTCCCTTTCTGCCCTCAGCACTCCCCAGATACACAAATCTATCTACAAGGCCTTCCTACTTTATTCCTAAATGGCTCCCTCTGGATGCCATTCATTAAAGGCTTTCTATGATCACCACACTACTTCCCTCTCTAACTTCATCATCTGCATTAGCCTACCACGCACCCTTTGCTGCAGTCCAGCAAACTTTCTCATTTAATTATACTGGCCTTGTGCACTTCCACCTCTGTGCCTTGTGGAGGTCATTTACAGTGTCCTTCACTCTTTTTCCATTAGTCCAAACCCTAACCTTCCTTCAAGGGTCAGCTCTAGCACTACCTACTCCAAGAACCCTTCTTTCACCTCCCCAACCCTTGTCTTTGTGCTACTGGCACACGCTCTCGCAGAAGTGTAGACTCAGGGAGGGATGTTCAATTAATGTTTACTGTGGTTCTTGTTGATGACAGTAATGATTAAAAATGGTGACAGTGATGAAGCTTCCTCCCCCACACTTCCTCCAGGAAGCTATGCAAGACTCAGGCACACTCATCTCTAGAAAAGCTATAGCCACTGTAGCTGGGGCATAAAGTCATTTGGGACACCCACCTCCTCAATCATTCAGCTCACAGAGGATGCCAGCCCACATGGTATGTCCCTTCTCAGAGCTCCTACGGCACGTGTTTATTTTTTTTTGTCAATACCATAGTCTAGCACCAAATTACAAACTCTCTGAAGTGTATTACCTTTTCTTCCACAACTACATTACCTACCATGAGCTCCTTAAAGGCAGATCCCCTACCGTTAACACTTTTTTTTTTTTTGAACTCCCCCATGGCTGATACATACCTGTAACTTTCCTGCCATCTGATCCCCCTCACCTACCAGCTTCTCTGTTTTCAGCCCTAGGACTCTCTGGCGCTTTAGGTCACTAAATCCTGTGGTCTCTTATTTCCCTGTTCCTTTTGCCCTGCTGGGAGAAACCAAGAATTTGCCTTGTTTCTGTCCAACTTTCTTTCCTCTTTCAGGCAATCTTGAGGCTTCAGCCCTTGACTCGTCTTAGTAGAGACACTGGAAATGTTGACAGTTGTGAGACCACTGAAGCTCTAGGAGCCCTTTCCTCATTAAGACCACTCAGCTCCCAGGGTGCCAGGGTGGGTCAGTCGGTTAAGTGTCTGACTCTTGAAATCGGCTCAGGTCATGATCTCAGGGTCTTGAGATCAAGTCCTGAGTTGGGCTCTGCTCGAGATTCTCTCTCTCCCTCTGACCTTCTCTCTCCCTGCCCCACTTGCCTCCTCTTTCTCTCTAAATAAAATCTTTTTTTTTTTTTAAAGACCACTTATCTCTCAAAGACTAGTCAACTGAGGTGATATATCTAGGCTACCCCCTGAATACTAGATAGTGTCAGGGTCAATTTCTTCTTCTTGCAGAACCGAAGTTCTGCAGGAGAGGGAGACCCAAGATTTGACTCTCTCTTGCAACACCTCCAACCCCATACTCAGCAGAACAGAGAATGAATCTAAAAGCACTTGACATCTTTATTAGCATTCAGAACACCTCTGAACTCTATACAGCTCCCAAGATAGGTTTAAGTTTTCAAGGGATTGCAGCCAGAGCTGACTTGTAACAGGTACTGGCCTGCATGAAGGAAGAGGAGAGGAACGAGTGAAATGTGCATCAAGTGGCTGAAAGTAGTCACAGAACACTAGCTGGTAGGAGATGATAGGCAAGGCCCAGAGAATCAATAGCTAGGATGAAAGAACGGCTTCCTTCTATAGAATGCTCAATTTGAACTGTTAGAATCTTTAAAATATATTGAATGCAAAATCAGTTATGTAGTCTCTGGGCCTTCTCCTTTCGCTGCAAAGCAACCTGAGGACGAATAATTTTTCCTATCCTGTTCTGAACCACTCCCTTATCAATAACATCCATAGGAGGGATATGGGCCTGGAGTCAAAACACAAGTGAGTTCCCTGCAGCCCTTATCCCTAGCATCTTTGTTTTTAAAAATCTGGTTGAAATGATCATCTAAATTAGCACTGAAGGGAAAGAAGGGCTATTGCAAAGTGCAGCATGGAATTTGGGGATGATGAGTATTGCCAGGCAGATGGCAAAGCTCTATATACATTGCCTTGTAGAGAGGAGAGACAGGAGATAGGACTGTGATGGATATTATATATTTTTTGGTTTAAGTCTTGTTTTTTTAAATAATGGCTAAATTGAGATATAATTCACATACCATACAATTCACTCACTTAAAGGGTACAATTCAGTGTTTTTAGTACAAAGTTGTGCAGAGATTACCATTGCCTAATTCTAGAACATCTCCATCACCCCCAAAAGAAACCACATAATCATTAAGCTCTCACTACCCATTCCCCCTCCCCACCGCCAACCCTAGTCAACCACTAATCTACTTGCCATCTCTCTGGATTTGTCTATTCTGGACATTTCATGTGAATGGAATCATATAATATATGGCCTTTTGTGTATCTGGCTTCTTTCACTTAGCATAATTTTATTAAAATTCATCCACCTTGTAGCATATATTATCATTTCATTTCTTTTTATGGTGAATAATATTCCTTTTTGTGGATATATCACATTTTGTTTATCCATTCATCAGTTTATGGACATCAGGGTTTGTATTAGTCAGGGTCCTCCAGAGAAACAGAACAGGGAGGGGAGGACAGGGAAGGGAGATAGTTTAAGGAATTGGCTCACACAATTATAAGGGCTGGTTTGCAGGGCAAGCCAGCATGATGCAAATTCAGGAAAGAGTTGATGTTGCAGTCTTGAGTACAAAGGCTGCAAACAGGCAGACCTTTTTTTTAAGTTTTTAACTTTAATTCCAGTATTGTTAACCTAGTGTTATATTACTTTCAGGTGTGCAATATACTGATTCAACAATTCTATACATTACTCAGTGCTCATCATCAGAAATGTATTCCTTAATCCTCATCACCTACTTCACCTATCCCCCCATCCACCTCCCCTCTGGTAACCATCAGTTTGTTCTCTATAGTTAAGTCTGCTTCTTGGCTTGTCTCTCTTTTTTCTGTTGCTTATTTGTTTTGTTTTTAAAATACCACATATGAGTGAAATCGCATATTTCTCTTATTTTGCTTAGCATTATACTCTTGAGTTCCATCCATGTTGATGCAAATAGCAAGATTTCATTCTTTTTTATGGCTGAGTAATATTCCAGTGTGTGTGTATGTGTGTGTGTGTGTGTGTGCGCGCACGTGTCTTTATCCATTCATCTATGATGGAAATTTGGGTTGCTATCATAATTTGGTTATTGTAAATAATGCTGCAATAAACATAGGGGTGGATGTATCCCTTTGAATTAGTGTCTTTGTTTTGTTTTTTGGGGGTAAATACCCAGTAGTGTGATTACTGAATCATAGGGTACTTCTATTTTTAACATTTTGAGGAACCTCCACACTGTTTTCCACAGTGGCTATACCAGTTTGCATTCCCACCAGCAGTGCACAAGTTTTCCTATTTTTCCACATCCTTGCAAACACTTGTCATTTCTTGTGTTTTTTATTTTAGCCATTCTGACAAATGCACTTTGAAGTGCTATCTCATTGTAGTTTTGATTTGTATTTCCCTGATGATGATGCTGAGCATCTTTTCATGTGTCTGTTGGCCATCTAGGTGTCTTCTTTGGAGAAATGTCTGTTCATGTCTTCTACCCATTTTTAATTGGATTGCTTTTGGGTGTTGAGTTGTTATCAGTTCTTTATATATTTTGGATATTAACCCTTCATTGGATCTGTCACTTGCAAATATCTTCTCCCATTCAGTAGGTTGCCTTTCAATTTTGTTGTTTCCTTCACTGACCAGAAGCTTTTTATTTTGATGTAGTCCCATTAGTTTATTTTTGCTT